GTTTTAATTCACTATCAAATCCAAAATTAAAACACCTATACCTTCTGCTTTTCCACTGAAATGACAATTCCATAAAAAGGTAAATTTCACTGCTTTGTACTCCTTTTTGAAGAGAGCTTACTTAGCAACCCAAAGTGATTTTTATAACTTCATGTTCTAAAGGGAAAATGCTCTTTAATTCGGAGCCTGGTTTACTTTAGCTATTTCTTAATAATAATAAAAAAATAATTCCTACCTCAATGTTAATAAAGATAAGAACCCCTGGACTTTTCTATCTAGAAATCCTTTAATATCTGCTTGGGCTACTAGACTGGGTGAACAGGCTATACAAAGGCTGTTGCAGAAGCCAGTGATAAGTAATACTTTCAGAAGCTAAAATAAAAGGTTTCTGAAATGAGACCTTTAGTTCTCTGTGCTGACGTTCTGCAAATTAAAAATTTAAAGCTGGTTCAGTTGCTATTCCCAGAGGCATAATTCCAGACTTGGTCAGAAGAAAGATTCGGCTATCTGCAGTTCTGTTTTCTTGCTCACCATCTTTTTGTGTAGTTGCAAAGGTCTTGCGGCTGCTTTAAGCAAGAGTGTAGCTAACTTGCTTATTAAAAAATGTGTCAAGTTAAGGGCAAAATCTTAGATGCATGATGAGCACAAGCACAGATATAAATCAATGTAACATTTTAAATTGTAGACTAAATCTTTTGAAGGATTACAAGTATAGGCAAAAGGGGAAAGCATTTTTTTTTCAAGGAATCTAATTATGTTTTCCAAGAGAATCTTTTTCATCTCTGGGGACTCTGCAGTTTCCTTAATTCAAATATTCTACAATAATAGGAAGGGTATCAAAATGCAATTATACTCAATAGGACAACAGCAGCGAATGTCTGCTGACTTTCTTAAATACAACCAAACTGGTGGTCGTTCTAACAAAACAAAACAACATAATGAACTATTACTAAAATTTATCTAGTGCTGAGTGCCAAGTGCTGTACGTCACACTTACTGTATATACTCAGGTATAGGTCTAGAAAATTTAATTAAAAAAAATCAACCCCCAAATATCCATAATTTTGGCTCCCAAACCTTTAAACTTCTACATCAGTATATACAGTAAGTCTTAATTGCTTCAAAGCTGCTATGTTTGGATGGGAACATACAGTGTGGTGAGAGGTTTGGTCATTTATAAAATGTTTAAATATATGATACTAAAGAAAAATTTAGCATTTCTGTGACTTCATCTGGTGTATGAAATACTATTTTCAATAGGCAGCTATATATGTATATATGTACATGAGATTAGAGCCCATGTAAAAAATGGAGCACCATGGCAAAAGCATGTAAAAAGTACAATCTTTGATCATTTAAACAGGTTGTAACTTCCTACAAAATGAGCATAGAGACCACTCACAAAACCTATCAATTCCTATGAAAATTACTATGAAAGATGCAAGCTGCTCTTTTTTTGCACAAGCAAAAATACTTTATAACCGTTTTTTTATTTTCAATTTCCACAACACTATCTGAATAACTGGAAGAGAAAAAATCTATATATTACACTGAATTCAGTCTGCCTGAGCCGTCATTTCAAACTACCATGAAACATATCATAGGTGGCTGCATAAATATTCACTATTACACACTGGGCACAAGGACCACATTTCACCCACATAACTGATCTTTTAAATGCATTCCAACCATCTACCACAGTAAATATCCATAAAGAAGCTGTGCTATGATAAACTAAAGCTGAAGAACACTACGATAGACAAAACAGAAATAGAATATTTGGAGAAAGGAAGCTGAGCAGCATATATCACGGGAGGTGGGGGGAGGGAGGATCAGTTTAAGGCAAACAGAGGCTTCCTATGTTAAAACAAAGTACATCCAGCTCATTTCCGGAAGTATCTAGAATACTAAACATTGCCTCAATAGCATCAATCTTATTAGAAGTTCATTAACTGAAACAGATCACAGTGACTGCAATAAAAAATTCATATGACCAGTTCATAGTATATGTATTCATTAGGAAGTGTATGTAGATCAAGAGTTTTGCCTTATTAATTGATCTTCCTTGGCTACCAACATCAGCCCTAGACTATGTTATACACTGATTAGAATACTTTTCTCCTGAATAAATGTATGCTCAAAGAAGTTGAGCATCCCTTACTCAAAATTCTGAACTCCAAAACACTCCAAATTATCCAAATTATCAACATGCACAAAATTGTTAAAAACATTGCATCTAAATTTACATTCAAACTATGTGTATAACATGTATATGGAACACAAATGAATTTTGTGATTAGACTTGGGTCTCATTTTATAGGTCTTCCAAGTGATTTTATGGTAGGCTTCTTCTGGAAGTTACTGTAAAATCACCCCAAGACCTACTAAATTTCTAGGGAGGATACTCCTATAGGAATTTTCTAGGCCCTCTAGGGTGAAACTATGATAACTTCTAGCAAAAGTTATGAATTTTAATAGCTTTTGCTATTATCAGGCATTATCTCTTTCCCAACAAGTTCAGGAACCAATCTAAGGGAGTTGTACTCTACTTCCAACCATTACATCCTCAGTACTCTTGATTCTTTATCAGATTATATTTAAAAATCCCACCCTTTTCTAATATCCCACAGAAGTTTGTTGTCTTTGTCATATTTGCATGCTGTACTAGAGAAGTTATCTTTGGTGCACTAATGCTGTCTTTTCCCAAGGAAGTAGTTTTTATTACTTTCCATCATGATATAATTATTATGAGAGCTGGCAAGATCACTTGAGGTTTCATGCTTCTGGAGCATAGTCATATAGCCCGAAAAACTTACAACAACCCAGTGATTCCGGCCATGAAAGTCTTCAACAATACATTCAGGACAAATGTGTTTGGAATATTTTAAATCAAGCACAGACCCATGGATTTATCCAATAACATATATTTCAAGGAAAAAATATGCTCTGAGATTTGCCTTTTCTTCCCTTTATGAACTGTGATAAAAATCTATAGGATTCCCCCAGCCAAGGATAAAAACAGAACATTATTAAACTCCTGCTGAAAATCCCACTGGAAATTTCACAGATTTGCTTATTATGCTTTCATATATTTAGCTTGAAAAGAAATGCATTAAGTCAATGCTAGTTGTGTCTCTATGAAGCCTTATATAGTGCCCTGCTTACCATCCAGACAGCTATATTTGTTTGTTATAGATAGAAGAAATAGTAATTTCACCTACTTATTATATACATTAATCTTAGCATGCAAAAATAATCAGGATATCATTAGTAAGTCAAGCTGACATATTTTGTTGCCAATAAGGTAAAATCAAAGGGATGGAGAAAAAAAAACCAATATCAAAGGAAAGGCAGTAGTAAAGAGAAACACTTTCAATGTCTGCTTAAAGGTACTAAGCAAAAAGCAGATGGAAGTTTACATAGGCATGAAGGCATGAAGTCATAACTGAGAAAGCCCTGGTTCCGGCAGCATGACCAACCTGGGCAGGAAGCATATGATTACGAAGCTTTAGAAAATTCTAGACATTACTGACAAACTAAAAGCAAAGAAAGCACTAGGCCCTAATGAGATCTACCTGATCAATTTTAAAAGGATTAAAATGTGACATTGCAGATTTTTAAGAAGGCTTCGAAAAAACACAGCATAAATAATATAAAATGAGAACATATGCAGTATTTCCCTGAATTTCAGACTCTGTCCCAAAGGACTGAAAACCTGTCAATCTAACACAAACAGTTAAAAGGGGATTTGGGCCATTTTCCTGATCATTACAAGCCAATTGACTTAATGTTTGTCCATGTTAATTTTGGAGAGCATTAGGAATAAGGTAACATTGTCAAGCACACAGAAGGGCAAGCCAGGCTAGAATAAAATAAATATGGCTTCTGAAAAAAGAAGTGGCTCATTAATATTTTAGAATTCTACAAAAGTGCCAAGAAATTGAATGAACAGATAAACATTGTTTATATGAACTCCCACAAGGCCTTAGACAAATAAAGTGGTTATGGGACAACTGGGGAAATCTTCTTATGCCCTTGAAATTGTTTACAAACAAGAAACAAATGGTAAGGAATAAGAGTAGTTGTAATGAGGAAATGTTAACAATGGGTCTCAGCTTTATATGGAGTGTAATTATTTCAATACATTACCAGGGCTAGGAATGATTGGTGAAATTGTTACATTTTCTAATATATTTAGGATGTCTAGAGTGAAGAGCTCCAAATAGATATCTATAAACTAAGGGAATAAGTGTCAAAATGTCAAATGAGATTTCATGTCAGTGGATGGAGGCACATTCCACTAGTTGGGTAGATCGCAGCCTTCTGGCTCTTTGTGTTCAAAAAACTCAAAAAAGTCCAAAATTCTTACAATGCTTAAAAAATATCCTTAGCTTTAAAGTTTTTCTCTCCATAGCCCTCATTCACAAAAACTCTATTAGCCTCACAATCAGGATGAGATATATTATGATAAAAGACAGTGGCCTTATAGTGAGCTTCATGGTTGAACCTGTGCTTTCCTTGCTGAAAACCAACATTTTATTCATTGTATCAAACTGGCTCATAGTTAAAACATGCATATGTGTGTAAATGTATGCCTGTGTTCTTAAAAAGTAGGAGACATTCAATAGGAACTCTACTAATTAGGTTTTCAAAGTTCAAGATTTCAAATACATCAATTCAAATACATCTACACTTTCAAGCATTATTGAATTGGGTAGATGCAGAAATATATAGATTTAAGTACACATTGTGACCACTAGATAACAATATGAAGCATCTAAAACACTGTTTGTAATTGTGTCCCTTAACACACAACAAACTGTCTTCAAATTATGTCACTATTTTGACACAAAATGTATGCACACATGCTGATATGTTCTTCAGATTGTTTTGCATGTTATGGTGACATGAATATATGTAAGAATGAAATGCCTGTATCAGTCAGATATTTACATTACTGAGCTAACTTTACATTTTTTAAAAAAAGATACCTTTCTTACCGAATTGATCCAATCATATATGGCTGTGCCAGCTGCACTACGATAGCACCGCTGCCAAGTTGATGGCACGTATACCCAGAATCCCAGTCATAATTCTTTGTGTCTCCGTTCAACAAGGCATTGCGACTTCGACTTACACCCTCAATCACACTGGCACAATCTGCAACTGTTGCAACATTCTCAGTGGGGACTGAAAGTAGAATACAAAGGAGATCAAAGCTTGAAACACAGAACTGTGAAATAACAAAAATAGTAAAAAAAATATTGCTAGTGCAGTAATCCAAGAGGTTACATTTTCACAGCATAGAATAAAAGTCAATAAGCACTGAGGGAGCTGTCTGGAACAGGCTAGGTCAAATCTTTTAACTGCTAAGTAGTTATAGAACAAAATATTATTCATGGCAAACAAATGCAATTATGTCTTGGTCATTGCAATATGATGCACTTAACTCATAATCAGGAATTACTCTAGCAAAAGGAGTGTGTGGGTGGGTGATTAGACAGGCAGTAGAAGGCCATTCATGGATAACAGATGTAGAAACAATCTCTGAGACACTTTTAAGTGTACCTCCTTGTCTATATATTTTAAACATATACACATGGAAACATACTTATACCGGCAATATAATAAGCAATGCCCATAATCAACAGACACAGAAAAAAGTTAGGTTAATTCTTATACTGTATACTTGTGAGATTTCACTCACCCTTAAAATGGAATCCTGTTTGTACCCATTCCAACTTGTCTATATCCTTCTGAAAATGAGGTGCCCAAAACTGAAGGCAATACTTCAAAGAGGCCTGACTAGAACAGAATATAGTGGGATAGTTGCTTTCCTCAACATGGAAACTATGCTTCTACTAATTCAGGGTAAAATAGCATTCACCTTATTTGCAGCAGCATCACACTGCTGGCAAATATTGAAGTTATGATCAATAGTATTTTCAAGATCCTTTCATGTGTAGTACTGTTAAGACGCCCCCTCTCCATCTTATCTCTCTGTATTTAATTTTTTTCTGGCCTAAGTATAGACAACAGTGTGTATGTGTGAGTGTGTGGCTCATTTCAAGTTAAAGCATCTAAATGATTATTTTTTTCTTAGAAAGTCACAGATCACAAAGCTTTGAAACAGGAGTAGGAATCATATAGTCATCCAGATGTTGCAAAACAACACCTTCCAGCATATCCAATATAGAGGGATGCTAAGAGCTGAAACAGAAAAACATTTGGAATGTTTAATGATTCCTACCCTGCTTTTAATTACATATGTAATTATTTCAAAAATAAAATTAAGGCATCTAGAAGTCAAATATACTGAATGTTTTCCTAATGTATATCTCTTTGTTGTCATTTTTTTTGTTTTTTTACTATTGAAAAGGTATTACGTATTTCAAGTCACTGCAGGTGATTAGTCACATTAATTTATTCACTTGCACTGATGTGTGTATTAATTTTAATAAGAATATATACTCTTGGAGTTGGATTGCACTTTTTAATTATTATGTTATCTTTACAACACCACTAGATCATATTATCTAAAATATGTGATATATTAACTTGAATATATAATAATAGTTTTTTTAAAAAAAATCTGATTCACACCATATTATTGATGGAAGACCTTTTCACTCCTATTTTATACAATGGGAAATTAGAGCGCAACCAAATAATTGCAACACAGAGAAGGTACCGTACTATTTCTTCTCCCAAGAGAAGGCTGCCACTCCCCATTTTGAATGTTCATTATCATCTTTCAAACCTTCCTAATAAATTTATTAAAAACACCATCTGGAAGGGACTTGGCTCTGTGCTATATTTTTAGTCTTTTGGTTCTCTTTATCTTTTCCCTGTGGAATTTTTGCCTCAGTTTGTGTCACCTTGGTTAGAAAAATATACTGGCAAAACCAACAGTGCCTTGTTTTTGTTTTTTTTCTGAGCCTTTCCCCATCTTTCAACTAAAATGCACTACATGGAATACATGTTGCAAGAAAAAGGAAAAAAAAGATTAATGTGATACAAGGACAGATCCTGTTTTTCTCACTTTTTGGAGCTCATAACAATTCTGCACAAATTTAATGTGTTGGCACAGAATATAACATGTTCCATGCTAATAAAATGCAGACATTCTGGATGCAAACAAAACTTTAAAATGGCTAAAGCAAAACAGCAGCAAGAGGATGTGAATATGATATGCTTTACTCTTTCCAGCTCTCATTCTAATAGTCAAAAGCCAACAGATTGCCGATATATTTAATTCTAACACACTTAAGTTTTAAAAGGCAGGGACATTTTTCAGTACATGACATGAAGACTATCCATAACAACTATATTTGAAGATAAGATGACATGCAATTTTACTGTCTGCAATGATCTTTGGTGACAAACGAGAGAAGGAAAAAAACTCAGACAGGCATTTATCTTCTCTTAAGTATTTTGCACCTTACTTTCTTTGTAATGTGAACACTTTTTAAAGAGTCAGGGAATTTTATTTTACTCAGACACAATTCTGTTTTATATTAGCTGAGATACTCTATGGCCACTGTACCACATTTGGATTTACTTCCTCAGAGCCAATTTTCAAAGAAGTAGCTGGGTTAGTCTCTTGTGGCATGAAAGCAGGGGGGAGGAGGAAAAAAGGATGAGGCAACATCTTTAAGACTGGTTGAGGGACTCAAGATGACTAACTGCAAACATGACCCAATACAAACTAAAATAAAAACAGACACATGTAAGTATGATTTTTTAAAATTAAATCTTTGTGTCATAAAGCATAAAAATTAAAATATAAGAAAAACTACAGTGAAAAAAATATACAGCCCCTTTAACTCTACTCACATCATCCCTAGCAGCCTGCCCCTCATCTTTCTGTAAATGCCTAATTAGTCTGTCTAATTTATACAAACAGGAGAACAGCATTATTTTAAAGTAAAAGAAAGTGGGAAAATGAGAAGAACTGAACCACAGTTTGATTGCACTTTAGAAATATGGAAAATCAGATCATTTGTCCATCTAACTCAGAACTGTATAAATCAAAGTTTGAGTTGGGTAACGCAATGCACCCACTCAGAACAAGGGGCTGGATGGATACTCTTTATAGGCCAAACCAGATTCAAGAGCCATAGGTTTCCTTCACTTAGAATGGACTCATTGGTGAAGGTCTCCAGGATTTCAGACTAAGTCTTTTCATGATCTTCCTGAAGAAGTCATTTCACACTCCATCTGAGATCTTCTGCAAGCAAACTATCACTAAGTTATGATTCCTCTTTTCAAACTCCATCATTTAAGGCAGTTTCTTCTCTATTTAGGCCATATCTGGCTTGGAAATATGGAACTATAAGGGAAACAAAGTGGGATAAGCCAGTTCTCCATATATGCATATCTCTTTTCTTGTTCTGGAAGACCCTCACTTTTTGTTTTTGTAAACAGAGACACATGAGCAATAGACACAGCAGCTTTTGTACTGTTCTGCAAAGGGGGTGGGGGAAGCAAATCTGAACTACGATGGAGGAAGAAAAAAGGATAGCAGTAAATAAAACTGGCCATGTGGTTCATCTTTATAGTAGAGGGGAAATCCTAGCAGTATTTAGATGGTCTTAAAATTTTCATTGATTTCCTAAGGGTATGCTTACTGAAAGCCCAACAGATGTTACTAGGAAAACCTGTGAAAATTTGAAAGACAGCTAACCTTTAAAGGGAGGAGAGAGAATAGGATGGCAGCCCCTTCATGCAGTGAAGGCATTAAACTGGACAAGGGAACAGTACCTACTGAATGACTCACTATGAGAAAGGGAGAGTAATATTTCACAACCTGCATTACTAAAAAATTGATTTGAATTTTTCCCTTTGTTGGACATTTAAATGATTTCTATAATAACTACCACCAAGCAAAAGATAAATGAGTGATTATTTATTCATTTTCTCTCTCACCCGACATTTTAAACAATTCTCCTAAGGCAAAAAAGGAAGTAGAAATGAAGGTACAGTGATTCATGTGTTCTGGGAAGCGTTCCTTAGAGGATAACCAAGGACATCTGATTTTTTATCTCCATCACCTGCTGTGTATCCATTACTCATTGTGTTTCCCTTGGAGTCTTATGTACAAAGACAAGGAACTGGAAGAGACCAGAAAAACTACAGACTTCAAAATTTTCCCCATCCTGCTGCCAAGTAGTCCTAATGACTTCATTAAGTTCACACGGATGAAGTAGACGATCCTTGGAACCTCTTTTGCTTTCCATATTTCGAAAAATCAGAATAATAAAGAATTGTAGAGCAGAATTTATGAAGGTGATGCTTTGATACACCTTCATAAATTCCCCACATACACACACACACACACAATCTCCAAATTGAACAGCTGCTAAGAATGAAAGAAGTGCTGGTGATATCATTTATGACCCCTTTTCTAGGGTTCCCTGAGACTTTCACAGCAAATGCACCAATCTGGTTCCTTGGAAATAGAAATGTTCTGTAATGTCTTCTATAATAGTCCACTTTTTTCCCTTTACAGAACAGTATCAAAGGTTGCTAGTGTTGTTCAGACTAATATGAAATAATATTCTATCTTTATCTTTCTTTTCTTAAAGCCATATAAGTGGAAATACAGCCCACAGCTAAAGTGTTCTCCTGTTCAAAACTTTAAAAAGCAAGAAAAATGCAGATGTCATTCAAAATATTATTTTTGTGTGTGTTAAAATTTCCAAAAAATCGGAACGTAGAAACGTATTTTAAAAAAAAGTAATATAATGATAAGACAGTTATAATTACAAGTCCCCCACCCTCCAAAAATAATTGTTACTACAGGCAGATTTTAAAATGTATTCTTTTTAATGCCTCAGATGTAACTGTAACAGTTATTTCTATTTAATTTTTCAAATATCTAAACACTGTAAGTACTCTTTCCCACCCACCTCATCATCTCCTCAGTATTCAACAGCAGAAAATGAGGCAGAGGACAAGGCAGCACTTGAACATTTGTCATTATTTATGAGTGCATATCTGCATAAAATGAAACTTTAAAATTACATCACAAAAGGAAGAAAATAATATCTTCTTAAGTTCTAACTGCAATGTAATACAGTTACACCTTTTCTTCTGGAAAAAGTAATTACTTATAAGCAATGTGTTATTTATAACTATTTACTGCTGCTCTTTCAGTAAGATCTGGATACCACTTAGAGCAGATGTGC